TCATCTTAAACTGTGTACGTTCCCATGACCCCAAAGAGCAATACAGAAAAAACAATCAAACCCAAAATCAGTACCTAACTGCCAAACTGACACCACAAGAGCAGAAAGAGTTTGAAAAGAAACTCAAAGAGCTAAAGGAAACCCATGACAAACCTGAAAACTTCTACAGCTTCATGTTCATGAAAAACAATTTTGATAGGAAATACACAGAAAATCTTGCTCAAAACACGCTGGAGAACTTTGACTTCAGCACCAAGGAGGCTAAACTCTTCTCCTTTCTGTCCCTACTCAACACGTATGTCACAAAGTCAGAGATGGCACTTTCTCTCTGTGAGGACTTTTTTCAGATGAAGATGTTACGCTGGAAAGAAGACTCTGTTTTGGATCGAATGAAGCCCTATTCCAACTTTCTTATCATAGAATCAGTTGATGAATGGGGAGGATACAAAGGAATACGGATCCTTCATCATGCAATAGCAGCTGCCTGTCTGGAAGAGCTGGAGAGAAGTCATGATCTAAAGGCTAGTGACATTGTCATGGAAATCCTCCATTATGATCTGTTCTTCAGTGTTGGAGTTGTTAAACATAGACTGATGCGTTCAGTTATACGAATGTTAGTAGAAAGGCAGCTGAAGAAAAATGGAGAAGAGAGGGAACCTTTTTCTCCTCTCATTGACAAAATCCACAGCCAGCAAGGGAGACAAAAAATCCAAGAAATCTTTGAGAAAGCCTCGTCCAGGTTTGAGAAAAAATTATCCATCCCTCAGGCACTGGCAAGATATTTGTACATCAATGTGAAGGACTTCCCAGAGGCCATAAAATGGGCGGAGAAAGCCAAGAACATCCAAGAAAACCCCTATACCTTCGACACAATTGGGGAAATCCACAAGAGCAATCTGAGGTTCAACATTAAAGAAAAGAAGGAAGGGCACAACCCAGACAATCTGCACATGAACATTGAAATAGCCAACAATGGCTGGAAAGCTTTCAAAAGGGCTCAGGAACTGGCAGACCTCGAAAATGAAATAGAAGAATCTCCTGACGATGAGTCAGAGGATTATCCCAGGAATTCCTACAATATTAAAGGCTACGTGAAAATGCTGGAGATCTCCTTCTTGGTCTTTGAGATTCTGAGCAGGTTACCATTCTTCGAAGAACATGATCCAATGAAAAAACACTACTTAAGAAGTTTTCTTAACGGACAGATCCCAATCAGCAACGTTTACAAAGAGAACACCGACTACAACAACAGATGTGTTGAGATCATTAAAGAACACGAACTGTTCCTGGTCAAAAGGAAAGAGATCAAAGAAATCTTTGATCTCTTGAACGACAACTTCACCTACATAAAGCAGAACTCAGAACTGGATGCAGTAAACAAAAGGATAGTGAGTGTTCATTTTAAGAAATATGTGGATCTGTTTTGTTCCACACCACAAGAAGTGAAAAAGGAAAAGGAAAACAAAATGAATCTTAGTCAAAAACTGGAGGTTGAAGAATGTAAACAATTTCTGGAGAAGAACCAAGCAGATACTTTCTCAGGAATCCTTCAGTACTTGGACAAACCTGCTGAGGAGATGGAGCAAATAACAGATTGCTATGCATTTATACTGCAAAATGATATCAATGAACGACATGTTAAAACAAAAATCAATTACATCATGTCCAACATAGTCCTTCATCATCTAAAACCTAAATCTAAACATGTTAAGAAGTACAAAGACCTCTGCACTCTGCTTCAAGATGTTCTCCAAGATGTCGGACTTCGACATCCTTTCCCAGATCCATATTTTCTGGCTCAGTTGTTATTCTGGCCAAGCCCTACAGAAGAAAACATTGACATAACTAAATATGTTGAAGCAATTCGAAAGTCTTCTCACAAGCACCTGTCCAAGTTGCTTCAAAAAAGGAGCACTGTCGCCTCCCTCTACTTAGGTAAAGAACAAGGTCTAAGGAAGCTGGTTTCAAAGCCATCACTGGATAAGAGTTTTCTTCCAAAGATGAACAGAGATGTTTTAGCACAACTTTGGAGAGATGGAGACATATTTAAGGAAGAGGCCATCATAAGCCGCCTTTACAGGGTGAGGGGAACCATTGAACAGGGGGGGGTTTATGCCATCTATGGCAAACAGAGGATCCCAGTGCGCCCAGCTCGTACCAGTGATATTAGAAGTGGCTTCAGTACTGAGACGGTCTCATTCTACATTGGGTTTGCTGTTAATGGACCTGTGGCATATGACATCAAATATGGAAAAATTGGAAATGAACGCAATATGATCTGAAAATATATAAACTGAACATGGATAATGAGCAAAAATAATTAAGTCTTAATCAAAAATCTTTATTAAGTTTTGAATGGATTCACAGAGGACCAGCTACAATGGAACCACAGGTTTCTCTCCTGTCTACATTCATTTGTCTGGGTGCTTTTCACAGAGACTTAATAACCGAGTTAGGAAGCAGCTTCAACCATTGCTTTTTCAGAAGAACCTCTATGCTGTTCATTTGAGCATTTTAGACTAAACTACAAAATGTGGGCAGTGTCCAGTAGTGTTCAGATCATTGTAATGAAATGTTGTCTTAGATAATGTTTCTCAATTTCAGAAACAGCTTTTGAATAAAAGCAAGGAGCCTTTTCACCCAATTATTTTTTTAAAGAACCTGACCTCCCAGTTTATTACTCTTACATGAAGCTTTTTTTGCCTTTTTTTAAAAGTTTTTTTTCAGCACTTGTGGCAGTTGTTTTTTTTCCGGACAGTAGGCTGACAGGAAAGGGTGTATGAGAGAGGGGGAGAAACATGCAGCAAAAGACCACAGGTCAGATTCAAACCCGGGTCGGCTGCTTCGAGGCCTCCATACATGGGTCGTGTGCGCTAACAACTGTGCCACCAAAGCACGCCCATTACATTAAGCTTTTCATGATTGTAAAAATATTAGACAACATCTCACCTGGGTAAATAACCATATATCTGTTTCGGAATTAAGGTAAAAAAAAAGTAAATTTATTTGCTATTTCTTCTGTATTTTTAAGTGTAAAATCATGTTATTGTGTAATAAAGTCATTTTCAATCATTCTTCATTAGCACAGATGTTGATTCCTTAACAGTAGGGCTTATTTTTTTTTTTTCAGACTTAAGCTGATTGAAAGTTTAATCTTGATTCTCATTCTTGTTGTTTTAGTTATCACTTAAAGATCTCCAGCTCATCTAAGCTAACCTTTTTTGGTTGTCAAAACAAGAGAGAACCTTACTATTGACTAGGGGTGTAAATAATATCATTTTGTATCGATGCATCGATCCAACAGCCGACGATTTGATGCATCGACACGTCCGCAAGAGTATCGATTCATGTTTTTTTTTTTCCCTCCGGTCTATTTTTATCCATTTGCTCCTGGGCGTAATTCTCCCTCCTGTGCTGCGGTGGCGCTAAACCTATTTTGCCGTCCTACCTCGCTTCCTGGTTATAATCTTACAGCAGTGTATTACAGTAAGCTTGACACAGACATTTTTAAATTATGCTCAGTATTGAAGCGTGGTCTGTGCTACAAACTGTGGGTCCTAGATGCGGCCGAGAGGAAGTGGGGGCGAGTTTAGTCCGACGACGGAGGGACATGAGGGCCAAAATTAGCGGAGATCCAGGTGGTAAAAGGGTCCCAGTGTTCTTGCGCACTTTGCTCTTCTAGCAGGTCACACTTCACGAGTTGTTTTCCACAATTTCGGTCATAAAAACAAAACAAGTCGGCCTCCTGTCTGCGGCACTGTTTGCGGTCAGCTACAATTTGGGAGAGGAGCAGCGGAGCGTCTGTAGAGGGGGCGGGGACGTCTGGAGCCGAGGTATTGCATTGCACTCATTGCACTGATTTTGTGCAGTATTTTTCTGATGCAAGGCCTTTCAGAATCTATAATTCAGGGGTATTATTATTTTTCCGTGAATGAGGTTTTAATAGGAATAGGTGGAGTGCAACTTTTCTACTTCTGTTATTTGCTGTTGTTTCTCAAAAAAATGCATAACGATATTTCAGCTTTTATAGATTTATTTCAAATTTGAAACATTATCTAGCCTGTAAGGTGTTAAAAAAAAAGTAAAAAAAACAAAAAAACAATTAAACAATCAAATCGTATCGTGGTGTATTATTGAGTATCGAAAATAATCGAATCGTTGGGTCAGAAAATCGATACTGAATCGAATCGCCGTGATTGATGTGACTTACACCCCTACTATTGACATCCTAAAATTTTAAATAATTCTTTTAATAATACATCTCTAGTTATTCAGTGAAATATGTGATATACTTTGGCCAAATAGCCAATTTCTCTCTAAGAACTTTTTTCTAGGAACCCTGGCTATGCAAATGCAACACAAAGTCACACTTCTCTATCCTTACCCCAGGCTCACACCGACTCCGGTCTTACCGTTGCGGTGCGGT